ATGATAGTAAAATAAAAAAGTAATAAATAAAATCTGTTTTCAAAATATTTTAATGAAAATAATTTGGCCCTTGAAACCTGAAGTATATAGGAACTAAGTTTCAAGGATGCAATCCTACAAGCTTGATAAATAGAGGTAGATGAATCCGCCATAGCTGTTTAAGAAGAATGAGCTTACCCAATATTGAGGAGCCCTTCTTAACCTGATAATTTGAATTTAAGTTTACATCCTTAAACCCCATTTTAAGTTACATGATTTAAAGCAAAATTATTTTTTTAATTTAAAGAATTGAACGCTTTAATGTACTGAAAGAAAAGGCTTGGTGTATTGAAAAAGTTTCTTTTAGAACATTTAGATTATAAAAACTTTCAGCATGAATGGAATTAAGATTAATTTAATTGTAAGATGCTAAAAAAAAGTAAAATAACAATCAAAAACTCTGATCTTGTAAAAATTGGTGCAAATTAGAATTCATTTAGAGGAAATATGAGAAAAGATAATATATGGGAATGAATAAATTTGATAATCCTAAACTATATAACCTAATTGAATGGTGAATAAATTGTAAAAGGAAAAAAAATCAATAAATAAATAAAAAATATATTACATAGACCATAAAGTACAAAAAAACAATAAAAGTATTTCAAATATTAAAATTCCAATTGAAAGGAATCTTATTTATTCTATGTAAAAAAATAATTTGATCTAAAAATCGAATTTATTTTATACTTTGATTGTTACTCTATTTTCTCAAGTTAAATTTATAAGGTATGATATGAATGTTTATGACACTCATAATTAATTTAGAAACTGCTCTTTTAAGACCAAAAAAGGTTCTATATATTATAATTGCTTTATTTTTTCGCATTTTAAAATAAATAAAATTGATTTTAAGAATCAAACAATATTGATATTTTGAAAGATCGTAATTTTACTTTTATTTATGATTTTTTGATATAATAATTAAGATTTGGATTGAATTTTAACCAAGTTAAGCAAGTTTTTTGATACAAGTTATCAAAAATTAATAATTTTTGAGTTGATGAGAACAAAATATTGACGAAAATCTTTTGAGGTTTGTTTTCTTTCAATCATTCTATTTTTGATATTAAGAAAATTATTTTTGGACAAATTTGGGTAAGTTCAAATTAATATATTTGTCATAAATTTCTGAATAAAATAATTTACATATACTTTAGATACATTTATAATTTCTTATTGGTTAAAAAAATAAATTTGATTATTGTATTAATATCAAAAAATTATGCATTAATATAGAATTTTAAATGTAATTTTAATGTTTAACAAATTTTATAATAGATATCAACCCTTTAATAATATTCATTTAAAAATCAAAATAAAATTTATGATATATACTAGCTAATTTAAAATTTATGAAACATCATACTTTTAACATGAATCAAATTTTAAGAATAAATTAATCAGAAAATTTAATTAAAATGGCCATTTATGTTGAAATCAACACA